TATTACTTCATGGTCAATGCTTAGTAATGAAATAATCTATTTAAAGATTAATAAACGTTGATGATTGACAAATATAATTTCTTTAAATAATTCAACGTTATTGTACAACTTTGCCCATAAAAATAATGATTTTTAGCATACTACTTACCGTAGATACATGATCCATTCGCATTTTACAGTTTAAACTGAACACCTTAAAATAATGAATCAGGACGGATCTTAGTCGATAAATTACTACATCAAAATTAATTAATTAACGGTCGAAATTTATGTCGCTACGGCAAATTACGATGAGATCAACTTTCAAAAGAGCAATATTAAAGTCTTAGAAGTTTGATTTCTGGGGTTTCCTTCCACGAGCTTTCGGACGCATGAAGACTGAAGCTTATGGACTCAGTACATAAGTTTCCCCTTGGTCCAAACTCTCAAAAAACCAATACGAGATTAGCATATGGTTTGAGCTATCGGAATTACTTATCTAGGATCCATTTTGCCCTTGTAGGGCGAAAACATCCGGATTCTCGGGTTTGTCCAGATAAAAGGCTTTGGAAACAGAAAGGAATTTTGTATTACAATCGACTCAACAATTACTATTTAAAATGTACAGATTGATTTTGCCATATGTAGAACACCTTTCAGTATTTTTTTTGGAATGCCAAACTTAAGTGGTTTAGGGTAATACATACAATACAACAAGTTACTACTTCCAAATTTCTTTCCTCCACACACAATCACCAATTCCTCCCTGTCTTTCGTTATATGGTTTTCACCTTTTTCTTCTTAGTGGCTGTTTATCCAACTAATAAATGCTGATTTAGCATCTTATTTTACCTTGCCAAACACATGGTCCGCTGGTCAATCCTTTTACCCCATCACTTAAAATTTTCCCTGAATACCATATACTTTTATTTTGTTATTTAGGAGGTTTTCTCATTCTGAGCTACGTTCAGCTCTGTTAAACTAACTGTAACCACGATTTTTCTGTGTTACCACGTCTTTAGTTACTTACTACTTCTTTCCAATTTTTTCCCTTTGTTTTTTTCTTCTTGGTTCTTCCATGTCATCTATGAATTTGGGAAAGAACAACATAATAGACAACTGAAGGACAGATTCAACGAACAAAAAATTTAGCTGAAAATACTCCAAATTCGGCAGAAAATTAGCTTGTTTAATACATATTGTGTGTAGATATCTATTTAGAGTATTTTGTAAAACAAGAGGTTTACGCAGTCTTTTTTCCAGCGACTTAATAATCAGGAACTTTAACTTAAATGTGTCAAGATATTTTCATGTTTGATGAAACACAAAAAAAAACATAATTATAACAGTTTTATCGAAAACATAATATACACACAGTTAAAAATAATATTTTAATATTATTTTAATAATATTCATAATAATTTATAATAGTAACTTATAAAATTCACATATCCTTTTAATTAATTTATTTACATATTATTAATTTTATTATTTATATATTCATTTAAATATTTATACAACTAATTAGATATTTATTTATACAATTACTTATCTAAGCAAAATTTTGGTTAAATTGCTATACTCTATTAACCTGTCCTTAAATCCTGTCATGTTATTTGACACATAGATTCAATTCACTTAATAATTCTTCATTTTTAATTGTAAGTTTGTAACACAAGTGTCAGTGATTTGTAAGAACTTTTTCCGCTAATATGTAGACTGTAAATAAAATTATTATATAAAGGTTACAGGATAAACATGTTGAAGGTTATAAAGCCCAATTGCTTTCACACTTTGGTAATAACTCAGGATACACCACAACTGTAAATTAATACTAATAAAATAAAGAATTTTTCATTTCATTTCATGTTTGTTAACCAGCTAAATTAGCATTTTTTTATACCATGGAAGTCACGTTGGCTGAAGTGGTTGGTTAGAGCAGCGGCGTATTGAGCCGAAGGTCGTGGGTTCGAATCCCGCTCGTAACACGAACTTTTTCATTTCAAGAAAAACCTTATATAAAAAAATTAATTAATTGAAAGAAGTAATTTGGTCAATTGACCACTGAATGTAAATTAGGTAATTATGTGAATATTTATAATAAAAAACAAAACAGAATATATTTCAATTCCTAATAGATGCATGCACACAATATTGTATAGTAAAAATAAAATTACTTTTTTTTATTTATAAAAAAATTTGATTTCGCTATTTAAAAAGCGTTAATTTTTTTATGAAGCTAAGAACCAACCAAAATCAATGCATGAACAGAAAATATTTTAACTGCTAATTGTCAATACTAATAGTAAACATTGCACTACAGATTTCGGATACAAAATCACTAAATTCACGCCAAATAATCAGAAATTATATCGATTCATTTTTCGTTCTAATCAAGTTACAACAGTTTAAACATAACCATTAGAAACTAACGTCATATTCAAATTTTCTTTCTTTTATTTCACTATCTGACTTTATTTTGACCAAGATGACGTGTAGGAAAGAAATCTTAGAAAAACATGAATCCCTTAAATGGAAGGAAGAGGGTAACGGCCGGAGAACGCCGCGGCCGTTGCGTTGGAGGAACCCGGTCCTGCACTTAAGCTGGTCCTTTTGCGGTATCAGCGGATAAACGGTGGGTGGAAACAAAATTACCCCAAGGTCCTTCGACAGAAATGCAAATCTCCTCCCTCAACTGTAATTTAATCCGGTCTGTGGTCTTTCTCCGGTGATTCTCCGCCAACAGGCGTGGCAAACAATGTGGGTGAGCGATTTTTTTTTCTTTTAAACGTGGGCTGTTATTGCTAAAAATGTAAGATGTAAAATGGCGATTGGCTCTAGTTGATTACGTCTGACTCATTCCTTGACTAAAACTTAAATACATATTAGCCCTAACACTTCTATTGATAATACTTGAAACGGACGGCTTGAACTTGCTTCACGAAAAACAAATATCGAACATATAACCTAAACCAGATGTACTGTCTGAATTGACTCTGCCCTTGATATGTAGTAAATGAACTATGCAGGGTTTTAAGCAGATTCTAAGGTATCACGTAGCTCATTGGCATTGTTACAGGTATCCCCGGTAAGTAAGTATATAGGACCAGTTCCGATTCTACTTTTTTTTGGTCATGTCCAATGTATGACTCACTTAGCACTTCAAAGTACAATCACAAGTACTTATTTTTTCTTTTTGTGAAGTATTCCTGGTTAAAATGGTTACACATATTTGGATCGCATTATATTTGTTCGGTTTGATATTCTTCCACCCATTTGTTCAATATAGCTTTCAGTATGCTCTGCGGTGTGCTCAGTAGTGTTGCCCCGATCAGTGAAGTGTACGTCTGATTTTTTACGTTAGTCATAAATGTTATGGTCAGCGTGGATCATCTTGGCAAAGCAAACTTTGGATTTTGCCATTTAGGAGGACGGTGACAATTAATTGAAATGCTTGTTGAGGTCAGGTGGGGAAAAAACCACTTGCAAAACCTAAGGTAAAGATAGAGATTTTTTCCAGGTTCGTGGTATTTTTGTGGTGGAACTCCACTATCAAAGGTAGAATAACACTGAAGCCTTTAGTTCCAACTTTTTTTTTAATGAAGAAAAAATTATTTAGAAAAAAATGACTTGCAAAACCTAAGGAAAAGATAGAGATTTTTTCCAGGTTCGTGGTATTTTTGTGGTGGAACTCCACTATCAAAGGTTGAATAACAATGAAGCCTTTAGTTCCAACTTTTTTTTTAATGAAGAAAAAATTATTTAGAAAAAATGACTTGCAAAACCTAAGGTAAAGATAGAGATTTTTTCCAGGTTCGTGGTATTTTTGTGGTGGAACTCTACTATCAAAGGTTGAATAACAATGAAGCCTTTAGTTCCAACTTTTTGTTTTAATGAAGAAAAAATTATTTAGAAAAAAAATGACTTGCAAAACCTAAGGTAATGATAGAGATTTTGTCGAGGTTCGCGGTACTTTTTTGGTAAAATCCACTATCGAAGGTTGAAGATCCATGAAGCCTTTAGTTCCAAGTTTTTATTTTTTTTATTTTATTTTTTATATTTCACCTTTAACCCAATTTTTCCAGTCTTTTTCTCTTAATCTACTGTCAACTTTGGGTCCCGTACACTTGACATATCCAAGGAAAATCTTTTTTATTCGGCCTTCATATGTAAACCAGAGATTTAAATAAACTTTTTAACGTTGTCGAAGTTCGTTGAAATTTTTGGGCGAGCAAACTCCCCTATATTAACATATTATTATTATGATTGTGCAGATTATATGCATAAGTAAGCAAAAAATATAAGATGCTTTACTGTCAATATATATCCAAATAATAAAAACACTTTTGATAAAAAAACATAACGAAATCTCAATATATCAAAGAAATTTTACATCAAATGCATCAAAATTAGATACTAACCAAACTTAAAAAATATTTTCGATGAAAAAACGTTAAAAGCATCCCACGCGTATGCAGACTCTTGGCATTGAACCACCACACCAGACGACATGCTGAGAAAAAAATCGACGGAATTTTTTCGTAACCAACAAAATGAGATGATAATCGTCTAGAAAATAATTTTAAGGATTAGCTATTTAATATTCCATTTTGTCCAGTCGGCGTACTTATCGACGTAATTAATGTAACGACGGACGAAGACAGCCTTACAGATAAAATGAACGTGCCATGGAAAATAGGAAGCAAACATAACATAAAATGAAAAAAAAGGATCAAAAACATGGAAATTAAGAGGTCGTTGACAATGTGAAACACAACGAACCCGGATCTACGAGATCGGGCGAACCTGAACAATGATCGCTTGTCATCATGAGCAAGTCGACTCGCAGACCACAGCCACAACTTCAAAATCATCCGATGCATTTACATAATTGCATATCTAAATATCTTCACAGCTTAACGACATTTGGAAAATTCCGAGCTGGCTTGTCTCCCGTCCACACGTCATGTCATGCGAGGTCACGCTCTAGGAACGCATGCGTGCCTTGACGCTCCTGCTTCCTTCGATCCGCTGACAATTGTTCGTTCGGTGTTTTCCCCGAGTTGGGTAGCGTCATGTCGCAATTGAACGATATCGATTCGACTTTCGCACTTGTCGACGCCGTGAAAAAATATCCGATTTTATACGACACGACCGACGTCGACTACCACGTCAAACACAAGCATGACATCGCCTGGAAGGAAGTGGCAAAAGAAGTTAACGCTCCAGGTTAGAAATACATAATGAAAGGCAAAATGCTTATTTTTTCCAGCAGTTTTATTGTTTGGAATAATTCTCAAACAACTGTTCGTTAGCAAGAGTCTCAACCTACGAGTTAATCCAGTCAAGATGGGGAGCGTACCATAGCAATACTTCACTTTCCGTTAAAACTTAGTTTTGATAGAAGAAGTTTAAATTGAAATTAATGTGTGGTGTTTAGTGGCCGTTAGTTAATGGTTATTTGAAGATCGTGAGATGCGGTCCGGTGTGACGTAGATTTTAGAAAAACATTTTCTTTATCGTGACAACGTTCGATCTTACTTGAGATCATCTTCAGGGCCTGGGATTTATAGACATTGTTTAAATTTTTTTCACATCCTCCATTTATTTGTAAAATTTAAACAATGTGTAATTTGTGTGTTTGTAATTTAAACAACGTACTCGAGATAAAAATGTCAATGGCACGAGCGGGATTCGAACCCACAACCTTCCGCTAAATACGCCGGTGCTCTAAAACTTGAGCTATCGTGACTTCGATCGGACACCAACTTCCCATCTCAACCAATATAGAAATAAATGTATGTAATTTTTCATCTCAACCAAACTTTACATCAAAATTATAAATCAATTTAGATCATTACTTTGGTTAATTAGGACCAACTAAAATACAAATGCATTAATGTAGAAATATATTATAATTGTCATGGAATGTAGCATGTAGCAGGTCTTTCAATCTCTGGTACTATAATTATTATTTGGAGATCGTGAGATGCGGTCTGGTGCGACGTAGGTTTAAGAAAAACATTTTCTTTATTGCGCCAACGTTTTGATCTTTATTGAGATCATCTTCAGAGCCTGGGATTTATACACATTGTTTAAATTTTACAAATACATGGAAGATGTGAAAAAAAATTTAAACAATGTTTATAAATCCCAGGCCCTGAAGATGATCTCAATTAAGATCGAAACGTTGGCACGATAAAGAAAATGTTTTTCTTAAACCTACGCCACACCAGACCGCATCTCACGATCTCCAAATAATCATCATTGGCTAACGGCCACTAAACACCACACGCTGGAATTATATTTTCACAACATTCTAGGGGTATGTCGTCTGTTACGGTATTACGTGATATAATTAATAAATTCTCCGTAGGAACTTATTTTTTAGTAGATTCTGCTCTATTAATTAATATTTATTTAGAAATCGTGAGATGCGGTCTGGTGTGATGTAGGTTTCAGAAAAACATTTTCTTTATCGTGCCAACGTTTCGATCTTTATTGAGATCATCTTGGCACTCTCGACACGACACGCAAGAATGGCACAATTACACAGACGACAAACACTTTGAGCCCTGAAGATGATCTCAATAAAGATCGAAACGTTGGCACGATAAAGAAAATGTTTTTCTGAAACCTACATCACACCAGACCGCATCTCACGATTTCTAAATAAATATCGATTAACGGTCACTATTCACCACACATTTCTATTAATTAATTCAATGAACATTTTTTTTGCGTTAATAAGTGAAAATTTCAAACACCTTTTCTCTTAGATAAATCAACATAAATTAAGGTTCATTGTGCATCTTATGAAGTCATAAATATATCCTCTGCCTTTAGTGAACTAGTATGAGAATCTTTTGAGCTGATTAAAAATTCAATCTCACGACGTGAAAAAAACTGGTTTTATTCCAGCCCCAAGTATAAAACATAATAAGGACGGTTATATCACAGTTGGGTTTTGTGGTTTCACGTGGCCTATCATAAGTTAGAAAAGAAATAATCGGAAGAAATTTGATGAAAAATAACGTTCTTGGGCAGAAACCAAAGAGAAAAAAATTCGAACGATTTGAACTCATTAATAACTATTTCGCCAAATTAACATGACAGGGATTCAACCTGTAGTTGGTGACAACAACAACATTGCAAATACATGGAGGATGTGAAAAAAAATTTAAAAAATGTTTATAAATCCCAGGCCCTGAAGATGTTTTCAATTAAGATCGAAACGTTGGCACGATAAAGAAAATGTTTTTCTTAAATCTACGATAACAACAACGTTTTATGCTAACGTCAACGAGATATCAGAAAAGGCTCTTTTGCGTTACAATTCATTCTTCTTTATATTCATCCTCCAATAAAATAAGCCAAGGCACTAAATATTATTTTGAAAAATGGTAGTCAAAGGGCATAAATCAGAAAAATATGGGGATGTAGCAGGTTTTTATTATCAAGCCCTTCTAATTTATTCAACTTTTAAAGTCTATAAAATAAGCTCGAAGGTTGTCACGTCTTTTCCATGCACCAATCCTGTCTGTTTTTCAATCAAATTTGAATGCATTGATCAATTTCTTTGTGCTGCGGGTTTAACAATTATTTTCCTCTTCTGTACAAAGAAAAGTGGATGTCCCTAGCCTTAGACTATCCATTTTTGGATTGGTGGCTATTGTCATACTTGATCACTTTTAGGGTGATTTCGCTGCGTGGTCTGCGGGATGAATAACCTGTTACCGATCATAATGATCTGTCTATTTTTTTTCACGTGCACCTAAAAAAGTCAAATATTTTGGACCTACAAACTGGAAAACTTAAATCCTATGACGTTTCATCAGTAGTTTTGATCATTCTGCTCTTATCGACGTTGTTACACTAATTTTAAGTAGCTGGAATCTTCTAAAATATATCTTATTGAAGACTGTAGGGTGATGAATCTGTAACTTGGTCATTTCCGATCATTCTAGTTTGCCTATCTTTACTTTTGAGCAGGCCATATTTGGGTCTGATCAAGCAAGAATAGGCGGTCGCAGCTCAATTCAATCTCACACCAAACAACAACTCCAATTTCATCATCACTGCTTTGTTCTATCAGAATGATCAAAAATGGCCAAACTCTAAATATTGGTACTTGCCAAATTTTTAATATGTGCTTTGCATTTTAATTTTTTATAACAGCCACTTCTTGCAAAGAAAAGTGGAAAAATTTACGAGCGGCATACAGCAGACACAGGAGGCAGCAAATCGCTTATGAAATGGGTGGAAAACCGAGAAAACCCTACTATCTGGCTGAGTACATGTCGTTCTTGATTCCACACAGCAACGTCAAGCCGGTGAATCGCATCAAGTAAATAATATATATAAATTTAAAATTTAGACTTTTTTATATAAGATTTGGTTTTAGTTTCGGCATAGCGTCTAACAACTCAGACCGCGAGAGCCAAGATGACCAAGAAGCTTGCGTTGACATTAAAGAAGAACGAACCGAAGAATGGAGCAACAGCGCTGAAGAAGACGAACCTAGCAAATTCGTCACCACGGATATTTTCGAAACGGATTTTTCTACCTCAATTCTTGAGTCTGGAGAGAAGAAAACCAGCGAAGAACTAAAGAAGAAAGACAGAACAGAACGATGTTGTTTCACCAGCGGTCAAAACGACGACGATGCTGATTTAAATTTTCTGAAGAGTCTCCTACCAGATATGCGACAAATGAAGCAACGAAAAAAGAACCAGTTCAAAATAGCAGTTTTAAAAACACTAGAAGATTTTATTGAATATTGATTTTTTAGGATAATTTAAATGTTCTCAAATCTCCAGTTTGAGAACATTCCCTTATGTGAAGGAAATAAAATAATAAACAAAGAACCATCAGTTTTAAAAACACTGGAACATTTTTATAGATTAAAAATAAAAGTTAAAATATTTTTTTTTGTATTTTCGTTCATATCAATTCGAAGTATTTTCACAATATATACTTATATTCTTTCAAATCTTGTGTTATCATAGTGACAACATTTATCTTTTTCCATAGTTGAAAATTGTCGTACAATATAAATAAAAATATTAAACAAGGTGTTTCACTTTAAACAATAATTATACGCTAGTGATTAACATGTTAAAACTAGTTTAAAAAAAACTACAGATTTTTACTTTTCTGGGTTTTAAATGAGTCATTTTTTAAGTGTTTGTCCAGTGGTTATGTTAAGTCTCAGGAAAAAATCCCGCAAGAATCCTAAGCCCACACTTTGCAAGATAGCCAACTACTACTGCCCACTACACCTACGTTCAGACGACTATAAATTCATTCTTCTTCATTTTTTTAATACAAGAATCTGCGTTTTGAAATCAGGCCTACTTGACAGAAAGTTCTGAAATGGGACAAGAAAATTATATATAATTAAACAATATATTGTTGGGAAAAAATCAATCTAAAACAACTTTTAGCAATTTTCTGGAACGTACGTTTGTACCATACCTAAAAAAATCTTCCATTTTAATTTCGATTTTTGCAATATTGTTAATTACAAGGTGCGTATCGCTGGAGTTTTATCCCATGTATATATTCTGAATTTTCGCTGTGCCTACACACATAATGACACACTGAACAACTATATTAAAGTACAGTGTTTTTTATATGTGATTTTTCAACAAAAATGAAGAGTGAATCAGTAAATAAATCAAACGAACAAATATAAGTACTGGACAGACAATTCACACAGTTTAGATTCAGCAGGCCGTGCAAACAAAATTATTATGCAAAATATAGTTTATTATAAATCGTTGTTATTTGCCCCCTTATACCCCACGCTGGTACCACTTCTAGGATGGCTGTCTAAAAACTTTTCTTCCTAAATTTGCAAAATTGATAACTAAAAGAAGGTTTTGATTTAACAGGATTACATATTGAAATAAGTAAATTTTAATAGGAATTTCAATAACGATATATTTTGGGAAAAAGCAAATGAAGATTTAATCAGTACATAAAGGAAACAGTGTAAAGTGGAAAAATTTATAGGTGAATATGTAAGGAGTTTGATCTCACGTATGTATTGGACATGTGTGGACGTTCTGACGACACAAGTGAAATAAAAATTCAAATAGTGTTAAATAACAATACATTTTGAGATAAAAATTAAGATTGAACCAGCATATAAATAAAAGCTGATATAAATGATAAGCTCTTTCATGCAGTGTTGCGACAGCCGTCCGTACTTTAATATAAAATATAGTTGCATCCGTCCAGGCCGACAAGCTGTTGAAGAACCCATCTACTTAAATGAGCGTTTTTTGCAAAAGTTTCAATTAGTAGGTGGAAGAGGAAGAACTATTGTAGAACCTCCCCATATTATAGCAATACAAAAAGTGCACTGTTTCCTGTAATTTTCTATGCACTATACTTAGTGCCTCTTCGCTCACCTCTTTTGGTGTGAGAATTGCCTTACCGAAGTGGCTATACATTAACCGGGCTAATGCTTCAATTTGACAAAGTATATGTGCCGATGTCTCTGATTCCTAGCAGAGTCGACATGTTTGCTGTCCATGCCTGCCCATCTACTTTGGGTGATAGTTGTGAGGGGCCGGTGCAGAGGTTTATAATTTTTCTCAAATCTTACCAGCTCAGAAGGAGGAGTTCATCTCTTAGCTTTCCTCATACGGATGCTTTTGTCAGTATTTGAAGTTTTCTTTCTCAAGCCATTTTTCACAGACCAACAGCACATATTCCAGAGTACTGAGTAAGTTGCGGTTCGGGTCCCATGGGCCAGACAGTCGTCCCTTTTTAGCTGGTTGGTCTGTGATCGTTCTTCCATATCTTCATGCTGACATTTCATTTGAAAAGATTTTATACACTGAAAACAATGGTCCAATCGAATGTTAAATTGGTCAACAAATCAAAACGTTATGGCAAAAAGAAACCGGCGAGGAGCTGAATGTACGCGAAAATCCGAATTCCTCTCTCTCTGAAATGTTGGAAGAGTTTTAGGTTTTGCAAAAACTAAGATTAGAGATGTACTCTGTACTTACAATTGTAAGCCGTATCGTTCGCATCTTGTGCAGGGACTTCGGGGCTCTGATTATGACGCCTAACGTTCCTTGCACAAAAGTCGATTTGGGAGGCTAAAGAAAGCTTAAATACATCCTATGGACTGATGAATCCATGTTCGCCTCTAATTGGCATACTAAACCGTTGAAATTTTCGAACGTGGGCAGAGGAAAATCCGGGAATTTCGTATTCTCTTCATCACCATGTGGTTCACAGTATTGACGTTTGATGAGGGCTTCTCGGAGAAAAATTAATTGGGCCTTATTTCTTCAAAAATAATTTAAATGATAGCGGATAGGGATAAGATTGGCGGCTACAAGGCTTTCTGCACCTCGACCAAAATAGATCTATTTTGCTCAATTTTTTTTTTTCAGGGAGGTTTTACTAACATTATTAGATATGTTCCTCCGCAACAACGACAAAGAATGATTTTCAAGCCTGACAGATGCCCCGCACACAATTCTTTGCGGATGATTCGTTATTTGAATGGACACTTCCAGGATAGGTGGATAGGACCTCTGGCCCGATCTGTTGGCCTCCTCAGTCTTCCTATTTACCACCTCTTGACTAATAGTGGCTTCGCTATGTAACCCAGCAACCACAATTGAAGAACTGCGGCAAAAGATAGAAAATGCTTGTCAATCTATCTCCACCGACACTATCGCTCTGAGCACTAGTGAAAGGTGGTTAAAAAGAGCAAATCTCTGTATTTTTACACAAGGCAGGCAGTTCGAACATGACACGTGATTAATAAATAGCATACCAAAAAACTGTTTTTTTCTAAACTTTTTGCAATAACTTTTTCTTTTTTTGTCCAATTTAAATTACGATTGAACTATTGTTTTTAGCATGCACAATCCTTTAAAATGATGTGTCAACATGTATACGATCGAATTTGAAATTTTGAATTTGAACTGGGCCTGATGTACCCTGTATAATTTTTCTCCAAAAAATGTAAAAATTTGAAACTACAAAATATAAAAGTCAAGTTTTTATAGCGTCATTGGTCCAAAAGATTTTCAGTTGGGCCATCTAAAACCCTCATATATATTATCCCTGTTTTATGTATATCTGTTATCGAATAACAGTATAATTCAATTGTAAAATGTAATAATAAACTAGTTTACCAAAATTTTCAATTGCATAGACATTTTCTAACGTTTATTTTTTTAAATATTATTTTCTCTTTCTAATACTTTTATATTTTCCAAATCAAAAATTTGATTTTGATTTTTATTATGAAAGCATAGTTCTGTAGTTTCTTTTATGTATTTTATATGATTCTTATACCATTTAATCATAATTCCTAATTTTTGTTTTTACCAATAGATGCCGTTTTGCAACTCTAACGATCTATATTTTACATTCCATGATTTTGGTATTTTTGTGGCATTTTGTCTACTATTTTTGGCAATTTATGATATATTTTATTATCATCTTCCATTCCAAAACTAATGTTGGTGTCATAATTTAATAAAGTGATTTGAAAATTTTCTGATAAATCATTACTGTATGTTGTTGATTAGAAATATTTGTAATAATATAAATTTAAAATATTTTGGAGAAATAAACCATGTACTCACCTGGCAAAGATACCAAAACATCGTACATTTGAAAATTTTCTTCAAAAAGCTCTGAAAATTAAATCATTCTTAATATATTTTTGAAAGAGTGCATTCAAGTAAATAAATTAATGAACAAAATTAATCAACTTAGTTGATTCATACTTGTAGTTAAAAGTAAGCAGGCTAAAGATCTACTTTTTCGACTTGCGCTATTGGCATCGTCAGCATGTGTTTTTTTCCAGAATAACCATTGGAGTTAGTAATAAACGTGTTGGACTGGAGGTTAAAGCAACGACCATATTACATTTTTTTCCAACTAATGCAAATCTGGCAATATAATCTCGTTCTCTCTCATGGAAACCACAAGGTTATCGGGCAAAATGCACCTCTTTAAATATCGCTTGCCTCCTTAACCCGTAGAAAGTATTTACCATTCTAGATGGGCCCAAAAGATAGGAACGGAATCGGAATGAGTTAAGACGTCCCGATCGGGGATACCAGACCAGAATGTTATTGTTGGCGAATGATATACGGCCTTGGCGGACTTGTGGCTCCTTTCCGAATATGTAGACGGGTCGTTTAACATAAACGGTACCGCATGCCCGTTTTGGCTCTTAAAACGCTTTCCCATTGTCTTCCTTCCGAGAAAGAACCATTTCATTTAAGCTTAAGGTTGCTAACATGTTTCCGCCAAAATGGTAAAACGGCCGTTTTTTCAACAAAAAATAACATTTTTGGTTGTTTAATATAAACTAATATTAATATTCAACATTGTGATCCACTGTCATTAACCATCATTCAGCAAGTCAATCACACGCTGCTACACTCTTTAGGATGGTTTGTCACAAAACTCATCTTCCCCAATTTTGACTTCTGCAGAATTGTTAATTAAACAGTGGATGGGGCTGGGGTTCGATCCTATAGCTCTTTTAACTTTTCTTTGGTTCAACGTGTGGTCAAGCGTCAGTTGGGAACAGAATATTTGATGGCTGACCTAAACGCAATGACAATTTCACGTACGTTCCCAGGACAGCAAAAACAAACTAGTAATGATTTCCTTATTATAAAAAAAGCATAGAGCATGGATTTGCCCTTTTATAGCAACTGAAAAACCTGACCGCGATCTAGCTATTTATTTATATACGTGCAATCGCACATTGTATCACAATAATTACAAGAAAGCCAAAGAACAATTAAAATATGAAAAACATTGAGAATAATAAAATAATATATAGTATAATTAAGATACCAATTTGAATACAAATTTAATATTTGGTATTTGATTAGTAAATAAAAATAGTTATAAAAAATCCATTTATGTTTTAGTGGTCAATTGACCAAGTTAATTTTTTCAATTAATTATTCTTTTTATGTGAGGTCTTGTTTGAGATTAAAATTCGGTGCCACGAGCGGGATTCGAACCCACGACCTTCGGCTAAATACGCCGCTGCTCTACCACTTGAGCTACCGTCAC